CGGGGGCGCGCCGCCACCAGGAGAGGTGGCTGGGGTCGCCGTAGGTGTCGAGGGTGGGGGTGGGGCAGGCCCCAGCAGGCAGTTAGGAGTGAGCCGCAGGGTCACGTGGAGGCTCTGCCTTCAGGAGCGGTCGGAAGCACGTGTCCTATGAATGAGTTTTCTTTTTGAACTTTGGTAATAGTGGGCACTGATCCCAGGGCCTCCACGCTGAGCTCCGTCCCCAGCTCTATTATAATTTTTTTTTTTTTTGAGACAGGGCCCTACTAAGTAACCAAACTGCTCAGCCTGGGCTTGAATTTATGATCCTCCTGACTCAGCCTCCCGGAGTGCTGGGATGATGGACGGGTGTGCAGCGGCACGCCCGGCCTCTGTAAATAGATTTTGAGGAAGTCCCTAAACTGCAATGACGTATTGCAGTTTCTTGGGCAAGAATTTCTTGGAAGCCAAATCGTGTTTTTGTCGAGAGCCAGGCTGTAAAGTCCCCATAATGCGGTTGGTCTTAGTTCTTAATCCTGCCGCGGTGTGAATGGGTACGTTCTCAGCAGTTTTTAAACTGCGGGTTGTGACCCATTTGTGTGCAGGGAAATCATCTCCGTGGACCACGGATGCATTTTTCCTTAATGCAGTAGAGCGGAGAAGTGGGGGAGAGGCCACACTTCAACAACTGAAAATGCCACTAATTTTGGAATGTGCCTTCAGTTTATGTACCATTAGGAGAGCAAAAACCTTATTAAAATATATCTCCTTGTCACGTTTTGTTCTCAGAGATTACTTGGGGGTGTGCCTTTTGTTTTGTGTTTTCAGTGCCAGGGATTGAACTCAGGACCTTGTTCTTGCCAGGCAGGCATGGCACCACTGACCTACATCCCCAGCCCCCATTTTGTTTTGTTTTTGAGGCCAATTTGGCCTCCAAGCCAAATGTAGTCCAAGCTGGTCTTGAACTCACTACGTAGCCCGAGTTGGCTTCAATCCTCCCTGCCTCAGCCTCCTCAAGCACTGAGATTCCAAGCCCCTCAGGAGGATGTGCTTCTGAACGTCAATGCCCATAAGTCTGAAATATCAAATACGTGTGAAAAATCTATCTGCTCACAATAGGATGTGCTGTTTATTCTTCACTGGTGCCTGAGTTCTGCTGTTCCGAGAAAGTGAATTCTGTGTGAAGCGAGAACACGGGAGAGGAAAGCAGCAGACTGCGGCCAGGAAAGGCTGCTCTGGGAGAGTGGGTGAGGGACTCCACCCCAGTGGGCTGCAGCTGGAGGAGCAGAGCGAGGGCGGGGGCCGTGCTGGCCCCGGACGACAGGCTTCCACTCAGGGCCAAAGCTTTCAGGGTGGTGGCTCACCCTGCAATCCCAGCACTCAGGAGGCAGGCAGAAGCGGACTTGGTGAACACCTGGGGGAATAGGGGGAATTTGGAATCCCCGGGTTGCTCCTAAATTCTCCTTAGGCTCTTTGGGTTATCTTTCTGCAGTGAGATTACCCAGTGAGGAAAAACTGCCAAATCTTGAGGTTTTCAAAATGGAGGAAAATAGGTTTCAACAACATAGAACACCAAACAAGCACGATGCCAGCTGAACACATAAGCAGTGGAGCACAGCGTGTCAGGGAATGTGTAATCGCCAGCACAGCCTCCGGGAAGACGTCACTCAGAAATGCCACTTCCCCTCCACAGGCCTACTACACCCCAGGCCGGAGGTCAGTCACTAGGAAGGCAGACACCTTGTGGATCTAACGGTGGGACGTAGGCTTAGACAGCAGAGAAAGGTGCACGTGAAGAGCGGAGCAGTGGCACGACGCTACCCCTGAGGTGCTTCTCAGGAAAGGCCGTACTTCCCCCCGCCCCGACCTTCTTGTGGGACTGGGGATTGAACCCAAGGCCAAGGGCCTGTGCCCCTGTGCCAGGCTTGCCCAGGCCTGAGTAATCTATCAGTATTCTGAGTGAAAGCACGTATCCCATTTAAAACTTAGAAGGATCAGCTGTGCTCGTTGGCAGAATAATCACTCAAAACAGGTTGTGATGACTTTTTAAAAAGCTGACGTTTGAGTGCAGCAAAGGAGTACGGTGTCTTTGTGCAGAAGAGTCATGTTCAAAGGGCCTGGATGTGGGAGACTTCTGAAGCTGAGGATGTGAGGAAACACGGCTGTTCTTGGAGAATGAGCGGAAGGTGGCAAACGTAGCAGGCCGTGTTGACAGAAAGCAGTGTCGCGGTCGCGGGGTGCAGCACCTCTGTTCTGCTCAGGACTCCTGGATGTGCGTGCTCAGACACAGATAACACACAAAAGAAGCATCTCTGAAACAAATGTCAAGGGAAGGACGCGAACCACGGCCTCTGGAAGAGCTGTGGTGTGGGGCCCGCTCGGGTGACCTCGCTACGGGTCTTTGCAGAGGAGAGAGGCTTGTTGCCCCTGCTCAGAGTCCAGCTCCAAGGCCACCAGGCACTGTGGCCACCGAGGATGATTCTGGCTAAGACAGCTCCCCTCCGGACCTCAGCCACGAGGCGGGGCTCCTGGGGTGAGCGCTGCATGGCCAGAAACATCCAATCAGGGAACAGTCACCCCTGCCAGCGCCACAGAGGAGCCACTGAGAGGAGGCGCCGGCAGGGCGGGGTGGTGGCAGCCCAGGGTCACCGACTTGTGGCTCCTGCGTGCCTCTGTTTATACTCTTAATTTCAAGTGGCTGCTCCCCCGATGTAGTTTCTGGAAGGCCACATTGTAACTCGATTTGGAAAGGAAATTCGCGGCCCAGGATGGTGGCTTCACATTGTCTCTCAAAGCCAGGTTCGCTAAAATCACAGTGGACAAGGAATGCAGAGCCGCGGCTACCGGAGAAGCAGGCTTTTGTGCCCGCTGCCCTGTCCCTGTGTCTGTCCCCCGGCCACGGTGACACTTCCTCTCGGACAGTGACACAGCATTAACCGTGGCCGCCTTGGCTTTGATCTCCCAGCCCACACCAGTGTGGGTGCTGCTGGGTGACTCTTCTCTGACCCCTGTCCTTTGTCCCGGAGGCAACTCTCGGCCCCAGGAAGGCGAACAGCTAGATCAACACGGAGCAAACTGGGGAAATGGGGCAGCCAGGGGGCCACCGAAGGGCCGCTGCATTCCAGCGGGGCTCCATCCAGCTAGGAGGCCATGGCCCCTTGTGCCATCCCGGCTGGGGACGGACACGTGCATCGGTCGCTCTGCATGTCCAAAAAGGACTGCAAAAGTGTGGAACTGATGTGGGCACAGGTAAATGTGCAACTGGCAAATGCGTGAGGGCACTCGGGGCGGTGAGGATCAACTGTGCTCAGAGATTGCAGGCTGGACACGCTGGGCACGTGGAAGGCACCGGGGTTTGACCCCACACCCCCAAAATCACTCCAGTCATCCGTAGGCGAAGGTGCACCCTGAGGCTGGGATGCTGAGTGACGTAAGGCAGACCTACACATCAGGCGTCAACATCGCAGTTTCTCTTACGCGAGAAATCCAAAGTGTAAATAATAAAGAGCAAACTAAACGAGAAAACAGGAAACGGGGAGATGCGAAGGGGACCAGGAGATGGAGGGAGGGGAAGAGAAGCGAAAAGGACTCAGCTTCGTTAGGCACTCGCGTGGGTCATCACGTGCCGCAGACGGGGACTAATTACAGTGTTTTGAGTTACCTCAAATTTTTGACAAAACCTGCCTTTCTTTGTAATCAATTCCTGAAACAAAAACCTGTAGACTTGTTGGATCACGGTTATGCAGTTAAATACGAGGGCTGGGATTTTGGCTCAGTTATTCCGCAGCCTGCCTCGCAAGCACAAGGTCCTGCGTTCAATCCCCGGTACCAACAAAACAAACAAGTAAGTAAATACTTCAGTGTACTGGAAGATCCGTTTGGGATAATTTTATAAAACCAAGAACTGTCTGATACGAGCATCCCCCGCCTCTCACCTGCCGTGGACGTCCGTG